GCGAAGCGTTTCAGACCAATTGCTCTCACTTCCACTGGTTTGAAATTGATCGAGCGATCAGTTCTGCGCCGTCTTCAGTTATCCCTTACCACTCCCGATGACACTTATCAGTTTGCATACAAACATAACCGCTTTACATTAGATGCCATTTCATCTGTAAGTCCCTTAATGAGAAAGCCAAGTATGTGCATCGTGCGTCTCTGGACTATTCTTCCGCTTTCGACTCTGTGCCCGTAATCTTTTACTAAACAAACTCCAATCTTTTGGCTGTCCGGCTTCTCTTCTTCAATGGCTTGCTGATTACTTTTCGCAAAGATACCAGTATGTTAAATTGGGAAGAAGACAGTCAACCAAATCACTCAATAGCTTGGGTGTACTTCAAGGTGCTGTCCTATCACCCTATCCTTTTTCGACCTATATCAGTGACTTACCTGTTACTCTCCCTGTTCGACATTTTAAGTATGCTGATGATATCGCCATTTCTGTTTCCGTATCTAACTAATCAGAACTGGTTGAATATAATACAAACCTATCCCACTTCGTTTGATATTCCGCTTCATCCGGTCTTAATCTTAATCCTGAAAAATGCCTTGAATGTATTTTTACTCTAAACCGCACCCTATCTCCCTCCGACAATGTACAGATTCATGGAAAACCGATGCGCAGGGTCAGCCATGTGAAGTACTTAGGTGTCACACTTGAAAGTAACCTTCGCTGGTCCTTACATACCCAAAGTGTAGCTCGCAAGTTGAAAAGGCTCTCTTTTCAGATAAGAAGACTGCGCCAAATCTGTCCTGACTCGTCGGTATCCTCCCTATAATATAATATACTAATTTTCCAACGAATGGTATCATTCACATGAAAAGATTGAATTACGGCTTCAAAAGGTCTTTCTGACAGAAAATGTTCACAACACTACACTTTAGTCAACAAAATGACAAATTTTTTTGTGTATGTCCGTTCAGTTGGAATTACAAACCCAAAGTGCTTGTTTGTTTTGTGTCAGCGATTGAGGATATTAACGGAAATGGTAACATGTATCTTCTTTCGGTTTTGATGCGACAGATATAGGGGACCCAGTGTTCCAGTCATTGACACATTAACCTGTAGGGTCCAATAGATTTTGTAATCTGAATTACCATGGGTAATTCCCCTGAAACAGAATTCATGAAACATTGGGATTCTTTTATCCAATTCGTTAGAACAGAGAGCAGACTAATACTACGGGATGTTAACATTTCCTTTAATTTCCTCAATCGTAAGAAAAGTAAAACAATGTGGTATGTATACAAGAAAGATTTGATAACGGGGGGTGGTGATTGGTGCCACAGTTATTTGACTGATTCCGTTAGAAATTTTTTTGCGTACAAGATTGGGTTAAGTAACTTCATTAGCATCGCCTCACTAAAAGCCAAGAGCTCGGGATCCATGTTACGTAACAACGACTTGAACTACAAATGTTTGTCCAGTTGTCATGTCATATTTACGATTTTTAACCCTGGATTTCTCTTGTCAGATTGACTCCCAACATTGATGGTACCAACCACGTGGGAATATTTTCAGACATCCGCTGTGACAGGGGCCGATTCGTTCGGCCGATCTAAGTGTCACCGCAACTGCAGGTGGACTGGTAGAATTGTGCGGCTGGTTCTGTTTTCGACTGTCCAAACGAATTCCTTGTGTATACGGTTTCCATGGAAGCTGTACAGCAGGAATTTTTAGTCTTCTCACACTCCTAAAGAAGAAGATGCATTTCTGCGAAAGATGCTACTAGAATCCTGGTTATCCAGGAAAGTTATTGATATGCACAGCAGACGGTCACCAGTTGACCCCGCAAGAGAAGTACCAAAAAAAGCGTCTCCCTCATAAACGCCCCCAGGGGTGACCATATAATGAATGGCGTGCGTCAAAAGCTCAAGGCGGCATTATATCGAACGCTTCCCGCCACACAGCTTCGATTGATACCATATACCCAAAGAATTCGTTTGGACAATCGGAAACAGAACCACCCTCGCACAATTCTGCTTCATGTGCCTTCTGCCAATCTTGTTTACACAAAACTCCTGACGCAATCAGTCAAACTGTCGTGAAACGGATTCCTTCCTCCCTGCCCCGCCAACCTGACAATTATCCGTGGGACCATTCTAGTTATCAAGAATTTCTTGTATAAATACCAGATTATTTTACGTTGTGGTGACCACTGAGGAGATTAAAAGAAATGGTAACATCTCGCAGTATTTGTCTTCTCTCTGTTATAAACAAAACAGAATTCATTAGAAATGTTCAGCATTTTCAGTCTTCAACCCTTTGGGTGGTTACTGCTGCTGTCGAGCCGTTTTGGATGTTGTCAGCGGCGTTTTTCGATTCCAGGCCACAATACTGTAACTGAACGTTTGCGGTGGGCAGTTTTTTGTCGTCCAGACCCTTAGCACGCTGATTCCATTAGGGCTTTGTACAGTTCGTCACCTAGGAAACCGTTTCCCATATCCACACTGTCCACTGTAACTATGAGAAGCAAGTCCACTCTTCCTACGCCAAAATGACAAGCTTTATCTACGATACTAGTTATCGTAGATTAAAACTCCGACTAATTACGGAGAAGTCTGAAAGGCGAGACAGTTCAAAGAGGGACGAAGCGGATTGATGGTGCAACCAACACGTTTCCATTGCAGGTATTTCATCGTTCTGGGGTGTAATTTGCACTGGCATGATGAGAACAGATTTTTGACCAACGACCAGGATTTCAAAACGTGCGATGCACTCGTCGTATCCTATTAGACATTTCGCACAAAAATGACACCCAGATTTAGGTGTGCGCTCACTTTTCACGTTATTTGAATTTTACAGATGCCCGGCGATCAAGAAACGGATTAATGTCTGTGAAAGTCCCGGGTTCGCAATCCTCACTTGGGTCGATGAATTCGCATTGCTTATAGGAGCTAAACAGAGTGAAAACGGTTGTGCAATAGTGCACACGATTCCATTTGAAGTGCCCTCCCCCCCACCACCCTTCGGTTCGTATACAACGAAATTCATCAAGGTAAAGGTTTGCTGTACTAAATGACACAGTTATCGGATTCGCTTATGGGTTTAACTTCTCAAACGGATAGCGTGTTTACGCCATTGTTTACTAAACACAATACATATTCTGTACAAAATCACCGGTTAAGAATCATTGAAAATGCGAAACGGGATGATTTCTATCATTCAAATCATTGAATCACTTTGATGTATTTTCCTCATTAGGTATGTGTCATTTGTCTTAGACATTTACTCCTTTTATTGTAAGGTCTACTAACGTCAGACCCCGAAAGAGCACTATAGCAACAATCCGTAGAATTAATGATTCTTTGAACTTCATCCCGTTCAACGGCAACATTCATCTAGCTGTGATCCGTTCTGAGAGGTGACCTCCGTTCGGTTAGAACAAGAAATTTTCTCTCCCGTCCATTTTTACACGACAGGCACAGACTGACAAGAATTTGAAAGTTCATAAACGCATCGATCTACGGGCAATGTGATCTCTCACATTACGGTCCAGAGGATTCCAAAGTTGAGGCATATGTACGCAGTCACGTGACTCAAGCCGATGATAACGATCTGTAAAGGAAGTATTGCAACTGCGCGATTATCGATCGGATCCCACGGTTCAGCCAAATTGTACTTGATTGTAGTAGCGATGAATGTGTTGGAGACAACAGTCACGATATATGAGCGAGTCGCCCCGACCCCAAACAACGATTTTCTGTCAATTAAATCACACTAGTGACCGCTCATATCCAGCCGAATTTTGCACTGGGAATTGCCCAATCGTTTTGAATAAAATAAAGGAGAAAAGAGATCATTTATATGTTACATTATTTGTACAGCAGTAGTAAAAATACTACATTACTGTTCATTGGACAGAACTAATTAAAACAAATATACAAGCAACCATAGGATATGAAAGACGTGAGCAAGAATGTGTAAACCAAATTCGGATAAAGAAGACATCCATTTCCACTGCAAAGTTTCAACGTGGCTTGATCGCGTGTTGGAAATTGTCGGAAAAACGGCAATCCATATCCCGTTGATCAGCTGAGTCCAGTGTGTCCGCAATTTTGCGGATCGCGCGCCTAGAAATGTAAAATGTGGGGTAAAATGAAGTGGGAAGTGTTGATTCCGATAGCAAACACAATCTGGCATAATGTTGGATGTTTGTAATAGCCTCTATGATAGGACGACCAGAGATGAAGAGAATACTACCATTTGCGTCAAAAGATTATGCAAAGCTGAATGGAACCGTCCAAACGCGCTTCAAATTTCAATTCGGCACTGCGCGACCGCCGAGAGAGGGAGAGAAAGAGGCAGAAATAATGATATTTAAATTCGCAAACAGTTGCGAAATCACCCTTTTGGGCGGTCTGATAGCAAAAAACAATAACACAAACATCGGATTTTAGGCTACCGGAATTCGTGACCGTTTCTTTTTATCTGAGTCAAGTAAGTGTAAGTGAAACAGGGATATTTGGTGTAGCTGAAAGAATCGCAGAAAAATGATTTCCTTTCAGAATCAGATGAGATCAACCGGGTTTCGTACAAATTAATGTGCTCTGCTTTGAACACTAGCGCACATGTACACTTATCTGCTTGAAGTAAGCACTTCAACAGGGCAAAAGTGAATAAAAACAAGGTATATTTGTCAACCGCACACACAATTTTGTGATCAATGGCAGAAAGGGTAAACTACAAGGTCACTACAAGGATGTCATTCACAGGAACCGGGATTGGAAGTGGAGAGTCCCAGAAGATCCTAACAGAATAAGTGTGGCTTTTAGCGGATGAGCACAAAGCCGCTTACCACTAAAATTGTGCGGCGGTGTTCAAATTGCGGACCCTAGCTGGGAGTCGTCCACTGGGGCACGTAGTCGACCTCCACAGATTACGCTCGTTGGGACATAAGCTGCTCATGTCAGCAAATAGGTCGCCACGGCGAGCGATGTTCACCGAGGCAGGCAATGGATGGAAAACGTCAGGGGCAATCAAACTAAGACCTAGCATAAGGATATGAAAACCCTAGCCCGGACACTGGGCCACATAGGTCCTGTTAGGTTCCCTGGATAGGGACCCCCAGATCATGGTCACCGATGGTTGAAGACGCTGAGTGATATGGGTCACAAACAGCGTCGCTCACGCTGTAATCTGAGTCTATATGAATTATCTAACTTCTCTTTCACTGTGCTCTCAACATTCGAATCCTTATTCTGCTCTTTTTATCCGAATGCGCGATCAAAAGACAGCAACCAAAACCAGCGCATGAAAGAAAGTGCATGGTTACTGGTTGTAGAAACTGAACCCTTGCTAGGGTCCAAGGCACACTGGTGATAGCGATTGGAGCCGCTTGACCATAAGTGAAAACAGTAAAAAAGTGAGAAAACACAAACAGAATTGTTTTTTTTAGTTCAAAAGGAAAGAAGGGCGGTCGAGCTGTTTCCACGTAGAACAGCAGATGGACCAATTGTTCACGCTTGTGCCACGAGCAGTTACGAATTTCATTCAGTCCTTTGATCATTTAGCTTCTCAAAGTATAGAAAAACAGAATTTGAAAGAGTCCTAGAAACTGATTCACATATATATATATATATATATATGCCATGAAGTAGTAGATAGACGGGAAGCTGCAATAACCAAAGGCATTTCAAATTAGTTTGATGTTCCCGAATGTACGGAAAAATCGCATGTGGCTACGTAACAAGCTAAATGGGAAAGCGCATGCTTCATTAACTGATACGTTTATTATTATAGGCAATGAAAATATCTGTGCTGACCGATAAGGAGCAGTGGACAGCTGTTTAATCCTGGTTGAAACTCGTCAGCAGCGTGAACCTTTTTGTGTTCCTGTCAGGACTCGAACCGCGAACCTTCTCGTTGGGACTTCAAACCCTTATTCTCGAGCTACACGGTCGACGGTCTTCACCTTGTATGAATGGTTCAAGCAATTTAGACTATGGAATTTGGATTAGTCCACTCGATTGTTCACAGGCACCGAGCACTGTTGATGGTCCTGGATGTGGGCTTCACTCCTTGGGAGGTCGTAAATTACCCACTAGTTGAATGCATTTATGAGCGATGCCAGGGTAAGAGGTTGGAATTCTGACGGGGACAAAATATACGCACTGCTGACGAGTCTCAAACCGGACGAAACAGTTGTTTGGTGCTCTTTGTCGGTTATCACAAATATTCCCATCACTTATAAATGCATTCGACTAGTGGGGAATTAACGATCTCCCAAAAAGTGAAACCCACACCGAAGACCATCAACAGTGCCCAGTTCCCGTGAACAATCGAATGGACTAATCCAAATCTGACATGAACTGAAAACAACCGACGGCCTTCCAGTTCCAGACCCTATTAAGCAAAAGGCGCACCGACAAGGGTAATGTTTGCCCTCGGGGAGGGGTGAGAGACCAGTAAGAAAAGAGATCAGCCTAGTTAATGCGGTAAACACAAAACCAACAAACAACGCATTTAGAGAAAACGCACTGACATGCTCATCGATAAACACAAGTTCGGTAGTGAAATATTCTTTGTGATCGAAAATTGGATGGAACATTCAGATATTCTACCAAGTGTAGTTAGTATAAGTGGGTTAAATCAATGAGTAGCCGCATCGATCCAGATCACGTGTTTAATGTAACGATGCAACCAGTAAAACTTGACCGGAATGCGAGTGTTTCGAGTGAGAAGTGACAAACCAGATTCTGTAAAAACTACACAGGTTGAACGACAGAAGGGGATTCAATCAAGTAAATCGGATACAAGTTTGACTGAAAAAGTACAGAATGTACTAGACAGCTGAAAGAAAAATAAACATAAAGAAAAAGGGGTAAAGTCGTTTTTACACAGCGATTGATCCACACGAGGTGTGTGTGTGGGGGGGGGGGTAAATATGATTTAGGTTGTGTCTATTGTCCTCATATCATCTGAACATCCTTTTCAATATCATTTTGTTACACGCGATGTGATGATAAGCATCTACCCTCTTCGCCGGAATGGCACCACACAACAGATACCACTAAAGGGCAAACTTGCGCATGTATACTATCATATTCCCGGAGGAAGAAACATACAGAGGACGGACCGTAATACGTGTACACCAATCTGAATTGGATCATTGTACTACTCTCAATATGCTCGCTCCGGTGAAACACGGATGTTCTAGCCGAAGCATCAAACGAGAGAGAAAAGAATGCAAAAGCGATCTCGGGAATGGACCAGGACAGTAGGGATTATCGAGTTATATGTATATGTGTGTGTGAGTGATAGTAGACAAAACGATCTTCCGTCTGGGTGAACAAGCGATCGTATGAACAGAGCCTATTGTTTTGTCAATATGGCACCATATGTGCTTTGAATGAAGCTCAATGCGAACATAAACAATCTGACTTGTAGAATCGACAGACACAGGCCGTATAAACAACCATGTCATGTTTTTGAATGTAGCCCCCTCCCCGCAGGCGTGAAAGTTGACGGTAACTTTGTGTATTCAACAAATACACGGCAGGTAAAACATTATACCGCGGAGGAAAATTGTATCTTGAAGGATTGAACAGTTTAGGATTGTTTTGGATTTCAACACAAATGTTTGTCACCGGACTTTATATGTTGCAACGATATGCTTGAGTGTCGTAAAGACTGGTACCGGTGCTACTTACATTTTTCAGTAGTATGCGAAATGATGCGGCGGGCAGTTTCCTTCAACGGTCAAAAATGAACAAGACCAAATAATAACTACGGACTGTTCCATTCATTATTCTGTGCGCTGCCGTCAACTGTGATGATATGTTTGAGATGAGATATCTTGTTTGCAGGTTTCTACTTCTTCCATCAACTCCCATGTTCGATTACAGCATAGAAATCTGCTGCGTGGGGGAATAATGGGTGTGCAAATAAGTAAGTGTTGATCCGAACCGGTGCCTGTTGTTGGAACGTCGAGGTCACTTTTCAAAAATCAGTGCAATCACTGAAGGTTGTTTATTCATGGGACATTTTGTCCTCTGCAATTTCCAACGGCTGTTTATGCTGTATCCGGAAATCAAGGATTGATTGTTTAAAAAAATTGACTAATGTGATAAACTTATTGATCGCATAACAGCATATTTTTGCGTGATTTGATGTGCACATAATGCATGAGCAGATCCATATTGGATTATCTCCGTAATTTTAGATACTCTCTTACTCAGTTCTGGATACTTTTTGTACAAACTTGTAACTGGATATAAGGCTTATCGGAAAAATAATCTGTTTTTTCTCTCTCTCTCTCTCTCTCTCTCTCTTTGTTTCTTGATCAATATTTGTTTCTGATAACGTATTCCGACTTTGGTCTCTAGTCATATGTTGAACTTTATGTTGGTACGACCTTGACCATTGGCTTTCATTCTATTTGAATATCACATGTCATTGTAATTCACGGTACAACCCACATACGATACGGGGTGTGGATTTGTCAACTGGAGCCGCTGAGTGGTGTGTACGAGTGTACGGCATATTCATTGTTTCCTGTTGATTTTATTTTCCGGTACAATTGTTATCTAATGTGTGTGTATGTGTGTGTGTGTGTGTGTGTGTGTGACTAGGGCGACAAACATGAGATTGCATGTGAAGTGTCAAATCATGCAGGAACATCCTAGGAATCAATAATTCCGCGAACAGTGTGCGTACGATAGTCACGTTATTTTTCGATATATATATATATATATATATATGACAATAATGGAGGATTCGATCCAATATTAAAGAGGGAATTCGTCGTGTATAGAGCAGATGAAGCGTGATCTGAAAAGCTAGGAAGCACTGAATACAGCTAATTCCACTTGGTTGGGTCTCACCATCGACCCAACTGGCACTGGTAATTGTCATCGTTTCACACCTCGTCGAATCCGATCACACAGTGAGTGTGAATGATATATTTCTACCTTTCTATCGTGTTTAAGATCGCCGATCTAAGTAAATTGAAAATCGCATCCGCAGTCACCGCGGAGTTGGTTGGAATTCGTCCACATAATCCCCTCTTGTGCACACAAAAACAATGTGTGAAGTCAATGAATCTACTAATAGTCCTTCATCTTTCATCCTC